CAAAAGGTTGCACATACCTAAAGATTAAGGGTAGTATATTTGAAAATATATGCAAAATGATAATGCAAAACACGACATATGATTTGCTAAGAGTCTGCATAAAGTTTTCCTGAGAATTTTGCATTTTTCCATCAAATTTATGAAAATTTGCTCAGGTATCGGCCAAACCGTTCTAAATACAAAGTTGTGGGAGAAAATTGAAATTTGAATTGAAAATTTTGGGACAAATGTAACGGATACTTAATTCTAATTATAAAAACGTTTATGAAATATTTAATTCAACTTCTGAAAATGTACTGCTATTAAATTTTCTTGTATAATTGGATATGATACTACAACCCTATAAACCTGAATTTGGAAATCTGTATATAATTAGTATTATATTTAATTACTCTTTTAACAGGCGTATTAATTATTGTTTAATTGAATCACGTGCTTCAAAATTAAATTATCACAGAAAAGTGATTAAGTTTGAAATTAAGCAATTAAGCAATAAACTCCTGAAATACCAAAAAGCCCATAAACGTTTTGCATAAAATTAAAGCAAATTATTAAAAATGCTAATTAAGACCATAAGCAATTATTATTACCATATCGATGTATCTACATATTCGACCACAAATTCTTTAAAAGAATAATGTTTCAAAACCTATTCAAATAATTTCAAGTTTATGGCCTTCCAGCCGAAGTCGCAGTTAAATATTAAGTCATTGTGCATTTATTTGATTATGTTATTAAATGTTCAAATAAACAAATTAACATAGTAGATTTTATATTTGATGGATTGGGAAATAGGTCATAGTAAAATGCGCATTTTTAACTATATTCAAAGATATGGTTAAATCAATATAGAGTAAGGACAAATGATATCAAATTTAATCATTCCATACTTAACTAGTTTGAATTGTTTTGGCGGCACTTGTTAAGATTATTTACACGCAATTGAAATGTATTTTAAAAAACAATTCAGTGCACGTATTTATATTCTATATCAGCAATAGATTCAGTAAATATTCTATTATCATGGTCGGCAAAGTCAATATGAGAGACTAGGATGTCAACCTTGTGCAAATGATAACAGTTTTGGTACTTCAACTGCATTAGCAAAATATGAATAAATGTCCCAGAACTTAAAGATAATTGATCTAGGATTGACTGTAATAACTGTCATAAAAAATTCCATGCATCTTGACAAAGATATAAGTAAGATTAGTTAGAGCTTTGGTCAAACTCTAACCATTTTTTGGATATTGTGGTTAATTTTAATACTTTGTTTTCATTTAAATTGTATAATTATTGGGCTTTATTTTTTACATTTTTGTAGGAAACGAACGAGTATTGCAGCATTTTATAATCCTTGAGCAAACTTTTAATGGCAGCTGCCAAGGCACCTTACAATTTAAAAAATGTTAAATTAATAGTCTCTAAAACTTGGGAAATTTAATCTCTATTTTTGACTGTTTTCTAGAATGTTATTTAGGGTTAAGGTTCCACAGTTTAAATGAACAAAAATAACAAAAAAATACCTCAATAACCAAAAAATGGTTTCAGTTTGACCAACGTCTTACGTCTTACTTAAAAGCTCATAATTTTCAAACTTCACGAGATTTTTATTATATTTTTTCCTGTCATCCTGTGACCCCGTTTCGCCTTGTCCTTGAGTTCTGGGATATCCTGTATATATTTTTTTTATAATCCGAAATGTAATTTTCTTTTCAGAGAATTGATCTAATTTATTTTACCGGAGACATAGTAGAACATGGTGTTTGGGAAACTTCCATAGCTGGCAACAGGGACAAAATAAAAACATCTTTAGCCAAAATGCGAGAAATCTCACAAAATTCAATGATCATTCCAATATTAGGAAACCATGACCACATCCCGCTCAATGTGTAAGATAGAAAATAGAAAATTCAGTTATAATTATTAGTGGCCAAAAATATATTTTTTATTATCATCTGGCTCAACATTTTCAATTCATTGGTAAAATTTTATTTAATTGGTATGTTTTATAAAATAGATATGCTCCAAAAAATGTGCCTCAAGAATTCAGCACCCAATGGCTTTACGATTTAATAGCCCAGGAATGGCCAAGTTTACTTCAAAATCGATTAAATAATGTCGATACAATCAGACAAGGTGGTTACTACACGCTTCTGGTGCGTCCAGGATTTCGAGTAATAGTTCTTAATAACAACGTGGCATATGTCTTCAACTGGTGATCTCTTTTATTTTATAACAAAATTTGCCTTAATTGTTTTTACTATGTTTTATTAACTAATTTAGGTGGTTGCTGTATGATCCAGTGTTTCCAAAAGAGCAACTGCAATGGTTGCATGATACACTTTTATTAGCAGAGCGAAATCGTGAAAAAGTTCATATTTTGACACATATTCCTTCTGGTGATCCGACTAATTTTATTACTTGGGATAGGGAATACCATCGAATTATTGAAAGGTAATAAAAAATCAAGTAAATAATTAAGTTTAACAATGACTAACTTTATTGACATACATTATATTATATGTTTGAAATAAATTAGAAGTGGAAAAATATGTTGAAGTTAATATACATTAATTGTTCTCCCACCGCTGCCACCATGTGAAGAGATATTAATTATTGGTTCTCTTCTTGATATGTAAAAACAAACACTTTTTATGATTTATGTGTGTTATTTTAAATTATAACTTACATGATTGAGTAACAATCATGTAAGTTATAATAACGGAGAACAATATATTAAAATTTAGTTGAATTTAATTTAACATAAATAAATTTTGTATTATTTTGGGAATAGAAATACCCAATTGCAATCATTATCAAACCAACAACAAAATCCTCAGATTTGCTAGACTTGGATTTTAATAAAACTTCTCATATTTATAAAGATGATAAATAATATAAAATAATTTTAATACTTGTTTCTTTTAGATTTTCTAATATTATAACAAATCAATTCAATGGACATACACACGACGATGAATTTACATTATTCTACAGTTCAAGTAATAAAACAAAAGCAATAGCTTCTGCATTTAATGGAGGCAGTATTACTACTTTTGAGCATAGAAATCCTAATTACAAATTATATTATGTCAGTCAAAGAACCTTTGTAAGTAATAAAAATGTTACAATTAATAATAATTAGAAAAAAAAAACAAACTGATCAAATTTTACAAACATTTTTAAAGAAATTGACTCACGCACAAATATTTTGATTAAATGGAGTTTAGCCTAAAAGCACTCTTTATCGAATATTATCTTTTAGTCATATAGAAAATTCAGCAAAGTCAACTAGTAATCACGAAACTCCAGTTCAAAACCGCGTTTAGGACAACCTGATATCAAGCAGTAGTTAGCCAGGGAAAAAAGCCTTTTCCAGCACTTCTGCATTAGGTTAAAAATAATCTCTAATTAAAATACTATTTCAAAAATTTTTTAATTTAGGAAAATGGCATGTAGCTAATGAGTATCATCAACTTTTGAGTTCTGAGAGTTGTCCAAAAACAAATAATATTTTTTAATATTCCTTTTCCTCTAGAAAGTTGTAGAACACGAATCTTGGATATACAATTTAACAGAAGCAAATTTAAATGATTACCAAAGGCCAAGATGGTTCAAAATGTATTCATTCAAAAAGACTTTGGATTAAAAAACTTGGAACCAAGTGAACTTAGTAAATTGGTACAAAAGATGTACTCAGATAAAAATTTGGCGTACAAATACTTCTCTTTCAAAGTAAAACAAGCAGATTCAGCATTGGAAAAAGGCTGTGATCATAGATGTCTTAGAAATCATTTGTGTACTATTTTAACATCGGTACCAAATGAAGAACAAACGTGCCATATTGTGAGTAAAAATAATAAAATTATAAAATTTATTGAAAAATTACTAATTTTATTAATTTTATATATTTCAGATGAATTCAAGGTTTGGTACATCAAACTTTCTTTGTAAATTTTTACGACTAATTACTTTGGGAATAGTGGACATATGTAAAGGATTATGAAGGAATAGCAAATTTTTTTTTGATTATTTTAGCTGTGATTAAATCAAACCTAAAGTACAAATTGATGCAATTATAAAAATTAAATTGCATTTTATTTTATGTAATAAAAAAATTAAAATAACTAATATTTATTTTGATTAGACTTAAATAAATTGGAAATATTTATCATTTGAAAAAAGTCAAATGTTTTATTTATTTTTAATAGATGTATGAATTCGTTAAATTTTAGTGAGTGGTTTATATAAATATTGATGTTCATGTATATATTAATTAGATAAAAATATCTTTAATTAATAAAAATAAATATTATGTACTTTCTTTTATATTATATTATGTAAATTATAATTTTGTTTTTCTGAATTTTTTTTTTTGTTTATCAAAATACATACATACAATTTTATAAATTTTGTAAGTATTTATTAATGTTTAATGAGTGTTTATTTTATTTTTAACTTCCCGTAGGGTAAGTTTGTGTTGTTTTTTCTCGAGGAGGTGCAATTACAATTTGTTTCTAAAATGCAAAAAACATTTAGTAATTATAAAGGACAATATGTAATGTTAAGACCAAAATAGAGTTTACTCATAAATAGTACATATTTATTAACTACATAGTCTAAAAAAAATATTGCATCTCTTACAGCAAAAAAACTGCGCCTTATTTGAAGCAACATTGTTGCACAAAAAGTTAAACTCTGTTCTGCCTTATTTGAATAATTAACTAAATATTTATTTAGTACATGTTTGTAATATATTTTTGATTTATATCACGAACGATAATGACAAATACTTTATGACTGCACAACAACCTGTTGCTCAACGTCATTTTCATGTCGGACTAATATGCATTTAAGGTAGAATCTATATTTATACCTATATCAACCTATATAAACAATGATATGAATATTGGCGCAAATATTAAAGTTGCTATTACTGCTGATGATAAAATTTAAATGCTAGTGGGGATAAAAACAGTTCATTTTTGTCTTTGAGGCGTGCGAGAACGAGAACTCGTTTTATTTATAAATGATTTAATTCAGAAGCAAGGCAGTTATGTAATTTTTTGAATATATGTGATAAGAAAAACATTTAAAATTATATTAGTGTTAAGTAGAATTTACGTGAAAGTAAGATGTGGGTTTATTTTAATAGAATTTTTGCTGCGGTGTTGATTATATTGGCAGTGTCAGCAAGGGAATCGAATTCCCAAAAACTTACTGTTGATGGATTTAAAGGTAAGATATGAAAAATTTTAGTAAACAACAATAAAAAAATTGCTCATAGTATTAAAGAAATATTTGATATTCTGATTGACTATTTATTAATATAAATTTAAGAAAAAAACAATAAAATTTATATATTATTAGGTGCAACATAAATATTTCACAAACATACTGCCATTTTAAGTAGAAGTGTTTATTACATTGAAATTTACATTTATTAGGAATTAGTTCAGAACGCCAAAAAAATATTCCTATTCTGCTTACCTATTGAATTTTTCATTTGTTACAATTATTTCAAAATGCAAAAGAATATTACCATTCTGCTTAGCAAATGATATTTTTACTTAGTTCTTAATTAGTCGAAAACGCAAAAAGTTATTCCCATTCTGCTCAGGTAGCATAATTTCAGTATGTAATTAGAATAATAATAACAGTTCTAATGATTCCACAAACATGTACGAAAATTCATTAATATTTTTAAAGTGATATGTTTATTTAAAATATTTTTCAAAACTAATAACGTAATTATAGTTAGTAATGTTCTAGCCATATAACAAAATAAAGGAAGTAAAAATTTAAAAAACATACAAAAATTAATATATGAAAATAAATATTCAAAAAATAATGCAATTTAAATAATGATGTTATAACTATTTATACATTTACATGAAATTATTAATTTTAATTATTTTTCAAGGTGATCCTATAGAAGAATTTCGTCAGGAATATTCTACGTTTTTAAAAAAGGGCGAAGTATCAAAGAAGTTACAAAAACTTACTGATTTACTATTAAAACCGAGTGATGTAAGTGGATATAAATTAATATCTATATACTTACTTATATATTTTTTTTATTATTATATATTATAATTAAAATTTGAAAGATATCTTACCATACAATCGAAAAAACTACTTGTTTTCCATACAGAATAAATTTTGTATAATTATTAAGCACTTAAAATTAGTAAGCTAATTTAAATGCTTTGAGATAAACTTTCAAAATATTATTTAAAATTTAACTTATGACATAATATATTTATTATTTTATTTTTAGGAAAATGATTGTGCAAAATGCCAAATTTTGGCAACATTTGCAATCGAAAGAAGACGTAATGGGACTTCCAATGCAGAGATGAATTCTTTGATGAATGATATGTGTATAAGATTTAAATATATGGATAGGAAAATGTGTGAAAACATGATATATATGCATTTGGTACGTAATAATAATTATCTAGATCATATTTTCTCAAAAAAAAAAAATTCATGGACCCCTTACAATATTTTACTCTGAGGAATGGACCACCTAGCACCAGTTAGTTTTTTGTAAATTGCTAACTGTACTATTAAAAATTTTAAGTGAAAATAAGTCAAAGTTTTTAACATAAAAAACAATATGTTTGTTATTATCAACATATTTTGGACCATCATTTTTGTTTCATGGACCCCGAAATTTTTGTTTTGATGACGTAGACCTGTCTAGACCCCTGAGTGTCACATAGACCACTTTGGAATCTAGACCAACATCATAATTATTTGATAACAAATTAGTGGAAAATTATTATGTGTATAATTCATTATGTATTTCTAACAAGTATTGTTAGAAAAGAATAGTAATCAGAAATCGATCAGTTTTTTGTAAAAGTAAATTGCAGCTACATAAGCTACATTTTGGAAATAATTGAACTATTTAATTAATTGACTAAAAATATCTGAAGAATAAAAATAATAATAATTTTATATTAAAATGTTGTAATTTTTTTTTAATTAGTATTTTAATAATTTTTGTTTATTTCAGGATATCGTACTGTATATAATTGATAACACTCCAGGGCTAACCAGTAGCCAAGTTTGTGGTCTTGCATACAATACAGGACATTGTACCCTTACTGATCCTCGATTTGATTGGAAAATTGATATTGATAATAATAAACCAATAAATATAGTAAGTAAAAAAAATACAATATAGGCAGTCATATACAATTTGCAACCAGACACAAACAAGGACTGATGCCTCATTCGAATCTGTTAGCCCAAAACCGTTTGGATGCTAAATTTACCAAAATAGTTAAATGATCACAACCATAATAATTCAATTTTATATCTATTCTGATTATGTATGGAAACTTATTTTTCTCTTACTCAATAGCTAGCTTCTAATCGAAAAATCGAGATTATAACAATTACCACTAGAACATCCAACTAAAGTGTTTCTCTCTACAGTCTACTTAAGTGTTTCTTCCTCTAATCAACAAATCCTCACAATTTAATGGTATTTATTTCCAGCCAAAACCCAATCTAGTCAACCATATAACATTCAACATCCTCCATTTGTCCGATATACATTATGATCCAAAGTATGAAGAAGGAAAAAATGCCTTATGTGGACAATCAGCCTGCTGCAGGAATGATCAAGGGCCTCCTGATCATAAGGAGGATGGTGCAGGAAAGTGGGGCGACTACAGGGGATGCGATACGCCCAAGAAGGCGATGGAAGATGCTATTCAGCATATAAAATATAAACACCGGGTAATAATAAAATATTAGTTATTATTATTTGACTCAAAAATGTGTTTCCAAGTCAAAAAAGCCTTTCCCAGGCATTGCTGCATTGAAATAAAAATATATCATCAGGATTAGGGTTAATTCTATTAATGAAAACATATTATAGATAGGTCAATCGTTGAGTTGCTTTCTACTTTCTTATAGCACTGTTAAGATATCTTAACCATATATATGATTGCTGCACAAAAATAGGACAAGGTATAAGGATAACTACTTTAAATATTTAAATTATTAATATTTTCTTCTTGTTCAATAGGATATCGATTTTGCTTATTTTACTGGAGATATGATAGATCATGCCATGTGGGAAACATCGACCGAAAGCAATATAAAAACAATGAAAGAAGTGTTAATTGCTATTTATCCACTAGCTCCTAAATTATATCCAGTTTTGGGTAATCATGAATCACATCCCGCCAATTTGTAAGCAATAATGAAAATAGACATGTCATAAATTTCAAACTGTAGGATATCTATATAAGTAATATTTCTTTTATTTTCAAGATTTTCTCCAACAAATGTTACTGATACGGTTAGCACCCAATGGCTATATAATGCATCAGCAGATGTGATCAGCTTATTTATGTCTAATAAAGCTGCTGAGACAATTAGAAATGGAGGTTATTATACTGTACAACCTAAACCTGGACTACGAGTCATAGCTTTGAATAATAATGTGGCTTATATTTACAATTTGTAAGTCAATTACAAAATATTTTATTACGTCTGAATAAACTGTTTGTATAAATCTGTATTAATACCAAGGTGGTTACTGTATGATCCTGCATTCCCCAAAAAGCAATTGCAATGGTTACATGATACTCTGTTAGAAGCAGAAAGAACTAATGAAAAAGTGCACATTTTGGGACATGTTCCTCCTGGTGAACCCACTAACTTCATTACTTGGGACAGAGAATATAGGCGCATCATCCAAAGGTAATAAAAAATAATTTTATAGTTTCAAAATGTGAATTATTAATAACTTGGGGAAATGCACTATTTTTTCCAGATTTTCGCATATAATAACAGGACAATTCAATGGCCACACACATAATGACGAATTTAAGATTTTCTATGATTCTATGAATTCATCACATCCTATTAATGTTGCATTCAATGGAGGAAGTATTACAACTTACGTTAACCGAAATCCGAATTATAAAATTTATAAAGTCAACGCAGCAAATTTTGTAAGTATTTAGTAACAAATGCATATACAATTATTACCTCAATATATATTTATTCAGGAAATCGTCGATATTGAATCGTGGTACTACGATTTAGCCGAGGCAAATAAAAATTCTATTGTAAACCCAGAGTGGAAGCAAATGTACGGTTCCTTTAAGACAGAGTTTGGCTTAAATTCATTGAACAGTTCAGAAATGCACAGACTTGTATTGAATATGAAAACCAGCGATAAACTTGGAAAAAAATATTTTGAATACAAAGTTAAACGTGCTGATCCTGAATTAAAAAAAGGCTGTGATAAAACCTGTCTTAAAAATCATATGTGTGCAATAGTTACCACAGTTGTATCAGATCTCATCCAGTGCAAAAATGTAAGTTATTATAAAAAGTAATGGATTCAAGAACATTCTTGCAATAAATGAAAATTATTTATTACAGATCATCAAATCATCATCAAGCATTCTTCAGCATTTGAATATATATGTCCTAGGAGCTATTGTAATTTCCAATTATTTATTATTATAAAGTCATTTTTGTTAAGTTATTATAAATTTAGAATAAATCATTATGTTGGAAATATGTAAACGCTTTGAAAAAGCTAGGATCAAATCAAATATTTTTTGAAAAATACGAAAAAAAACAATTTAGTAAAAAAAACTTATTTGTAAAGTGAAATAAAGATATCTATATATTTTTATTGAATATAATTTATTATCTTATAATTATTCTTATTATGTACAATTCAATATGTTTAATATCTAATAAATAGTAACTCATCATAATGAAATTAAAGTTAAAATCTATTAATTTTTGCTAGCAGGCGACACCAAAGTGACCAAATTAATCAATTACGAAATACCATCTAATGCAATCCACTCCAAGTCTCGTTTTTCCACAAATTCCTCACTCGTTATTTTATCAAATAATGCAAGCTATAAACAAATGCATTATAATAATAAAATATTAATTACTATATAAGTACTATATTTTATTATTATAAATTTTCACCTGTTTTCTAACATATAAGACTAGTTTTTCGACAACTTCAGGATCAACATATCTCTGCTCAAAAAATCTCCTCCAAATAGCAGCAGCCAAAACCATATCATTTGAACCTAGTGCTTCATCATAACCAATTAAGGCATATTGAAATTGTTGTGACAAAATTTGAATTTGTTCTCTAACACCACGGCTATTGACATTCTACAAAAGAAAATTACATTTCTAATAAGAATGTCAATTTCACTTTCAGGGAACTGAAAGGCTATTCATTTGCTTCTGAATCAAGTTTACCCTAAATTGTTTGGTTCTAGTTGCAACATCAGCCCACAATGCCTCAACAATATCATTTCTCATTTCTCTACCGATACTTCCTTTCTCACATCCTTCAGCCATTGCACGAACTAGCAGCATCCAGACATGAAGTTCGGTTATAAGAAACCATGAATTGAAAGTATCTGGCATCTTACATACTTTAAAAAAATATTCATAATCAATTTTGTCTGCTACACTTTCGTACATCAGATAGGATGTAACTTTCCTGCGCTACAACATATAAAAGCAATACTTACACAAAGTCACCTGGATAATGAAATTTCTATAATTCACTAGATTTAAAACAATCTTTTAATAATTGTTGCAGAGATAAATTATAGGTTTTTTGAATCACTCTTTTGTTATAATGTTTAATAATTTGCTATTAGCATCATGGGTAAAAAAAAGATTTCAATTGGGAGTGTTAGCAAGTAACCAATCAAAACCAATTTTATGTATGTATTATTAATATAAATAAAGGTATAATAGTTTGCTTTTTGAAATAAAATCGTGAATAAAATTGATAAATAAATTATAGAAAAAATGATAGTAAAAAAAATTGATCGCCATTTTTCTACAAGGATAGAAAAGTAAGTAAAAATTACCTAAAATCATAGACCTTATACTACATAATGTATAAGGAATTATAAGGTCCTGTTTAAAATTCATTCTTCTACACAAGAATACCCCCTTAAGTGTATAGCTTGTAATTCTTATCCGTTTGTGTATTCAAATCAATTTTCTTAATAAATTAATGAAAGACTTACCGTTCGTGAAATATCCATCCATCCCATTTTCTTCAAAATTCTTTTTAAAACCCCTTCATCATTTTTTTCTGTATATTTTATACTTGATGTATATATTCCTCTATGTTTAAGCACGACATTATATTCAGGTTTAAAGTCTTGCACTAATTTTAAAGTCGGGCACAAAATTGGCAAACTCTGAATCAATAATTATTAGTTAGTAAAATTATTTTTATAATAGAAATAGAAATATAAAGGCTTACTGGTTTTATACTGAAGTTGCTTATTGGAATAAACGATCTTAACATCTTGATGTTTTGCATAATGATGAATTAATTATATTTGCACAATTAAACTTAAATTAACAACTAAACAATAATATAACTTTATTTGCCTGTCATTTCACTGTATTTACATAATTTATTTATAAAAATAAGTCAAACGCATTCCATAACACATCAAAACATTTTTAGGTTAAGTTATTCCACAGGGCAGTCAACATAATAAAATGAAATTCATTTTCTTCGATCGAGACTTTCGGGAGATTTGAAAACTTTAGCTAAAAAAAACGTAATCGTTGCACATTTGATTCCTCTGACATATTCTTTGTCTGTATTTTTATTATATTATTCTTTCATAACAACCTATAAATCCATTATGAGCATTTGCTGATTAATAATTTAAGAAAAAAATATGAATAATCACGAAGAGCAATGCAACGAAATAGAGGCTTTAGAATCTATTTACTATGGGGACCTGGAAAGTTAGTATGAATTTTAGGTTATATATTATATATCAATATTCATATAAACATAATTATTATTCAGTTCTAGATAAAGAACCTTTTCACAAATTCAAAGTACCTATAAAATCTGAGGAATACACAGCTGAGTCACCTGAAGGATTAGCTTGTTCACTTATATTTACCTACACCAAAACTTATCCTGATACACCACCAGAAATAGAAATAGAAGATACTGAAAATTTTGAAGATGTTGATGAAAATGAACTTAAACAACATATGTTAGAAGAGGTAATAACATTTTGAGGCAATATTCATAATATTTTAACTGGTGACACATAATTATTTCAGGCAAATAATAATTTAGGTATGGTAATGATTTTTACCTTAGTATCAACCGGTCAAGAATGGCTTAATGTTCAATGGGATAATTTAAAAAAAGAACGTGAAGAAGGAATTATAAGAAAACGAGAAGCTGAAGAAGAAGCAGAAAGAGTAAATCAATATACTATTGTAATTTACTTTGTATTCGAATAATATATTTTAATTCCTATCTATTGTAGAAAAGATTTGAAGGGACACGTGTGACCGTAGAAACTTTCTTAAAGTGGAGAACAGCCTTTGAATTAGATACAGGCATAACCAGTAAACGAGATAAAGATTTGAAAGACAGTAAAAAACTTACAGGAAAAGAGCTATTCTTAAGAGATACCACTCTTAATGAATCTGATCTCAAATTTCTGGAAGAAGGTATGTAAATTCATCTCTTTTTTTCACATTGAATGTAAATCAAATGTTTATTTTCCAGGTGCTGATTTTGTTAAAGTTGATGAATCACTATTCCAAAATCTTGATGATTTGGATTTAGATGATGACGATGATGATGATGAAGATTATGTACCTGGAGACAGTGATGAATCATAATTTAAGATGCATTTAAAAGATTCAAATCATTTGTTAAACTGTATCATGTCAATCATAAAATATGTTACATTAAACATAAATCTCTTTGAGTTTGCTGTTGTACAATAAGAATATGAACGAAATAATATACTTCAATAATTATGCTTTGAAACAAATATTTTATAATAAATAATTTCATATAAAATGTTTCTAAATGTATTATTTGTTCATCAGTAAACTGTTCATGGCCCACACCTTCTTAATTTGATCTTTTTTTTAAGCTTTGTTCCAATTTCAATTATATAGTGCCAAACATTCTGCAGTTATACCAGGAGTGTCCATAAGCACAGAATGTGGAGCACAACGCCAGGGATCATTTGTTTGTTGCTGCCAAGAATGTAGTCTCTTCTTCAGTTCTTCAAATGTATCCTATAACAATATAATGAATTTGATATCTGCATTAATAATTTAAGTTCTTATTATGTATTAGTAACCTTTATATCTGGCTTTCCAGCCAAATTCCTCAATTCCTCTGGATCATGCTTAACATCATACAATTCCCATTCAGGCCTATTATAGTATGATTTAAGATTGCGGTACCATGGTAAAGCATCTTTATCTCTTGTTCGATTCAATATATCCTATGATTTGAAAAATTAACAGTCTTTCAAAATTTGTTTATAATAATTGTTTTATACCTCAAATGTTGGGGATACATAAAGGTCTTGATCAATGGGAAAAGGTGCTTGATAGTTCAAGTTGTGTATTAATTTATAACGTTTTGTTCTTATTGCTCTCATTGGATAGTACATTGTGACTTCATGATGTGTCTGACTGGCAAATATTGCCTCATTTGGATTCTCAGGAGGTTCTATAAAAAAAATTTCAATAGGAACTCACACATTTATATATATTTAACACACACACAAATACCTTCATCTAGTAAATTAAGTAAACTTTTTCCAGTCAAAGTTCTTCCAACATTCACATCATTAGTTTCAAGTCTGCTTACTCCTGGTTCTGAAATATTAAACCAGTCTAGCAAGGTTGGTGTTACATCTAAAAGACTTGCTAATTCATATGTAACCTAAATCACAAAAACATCTGTCATTACTAAGACTTGTTTAGTTTATATGTGAAACCTATGTAGTATTTACTTGATTTCTACGTTTCTGACCAGGGGCTGACATAAACATTGGCTCAGCCATTCCTGAATCATAAAGATTAGTCCTACCACCAGGAACTGGTGGGCCATTATCTGATGTGTAAATTACTAAAGTATCATCAGCATGCCCTGCTTGTTTTAATTCCTCCAAAACTAATCCAACACCTGAGAATGTAACCGTTTAAGTTATCAGAAAAGATAACTAATTATTAAAAATGTCTCTACCTTGATCAAGTCTAGAAATAGTTGTGTATTGAGCAGCTAAATCTCTGCGAGCTGGTTCGGTATCTGGTATATAATAAGGTAATTCCAGCTGATCCCATTGGTAATAAATTGGATGCCAATCTGGGATCACTCCCATGCCCTAGTTGAATAAATAAATAGTAAAATATCAAAGTATTTTGTGAATTAATGGGTATTGAAATGTTTCTGATCTTACTTCTTCTCCAGAGCCCCACCTTTCACAATAACTTCCATATTGTGGAGTAACATGACCACAACGATGAGGATCATGGAAAGCTACATATAAAAGGAATGGCCTGCAAAAATAGCAAGAACACTAGTATTATTGAAATCCTATTGCACCAGAATCGTGTAATTAGTTCTATATCTGATATACATACTGTTTTCCATCATTTTGTTTCAGAAACTCTCGTACTAATAATTTAATAAATGTTATGTTACGTCCAACTTGATTAATAGGATGTTGATTCTCTGTTTGTTCGTAATCAAATTTAAAAACTTCATCTGGACCCACATGTTTCTTTCCAATAATTCCTGGAAAACAATTGCTGTAGTAAAACTAAAATTCTTGCAGGTTTTTGCATAACCATAATTGTGGTCATATACAATAAATATATACAGGTCTAAATATATATTATTTACCGGTTCTTATTCCATTTTCTCTCAAAAGATTTGGTAGGCTAGTTATGTTATTGAATGAGTTAAAATGATGTACCCCATGGTGCAATCCATACATTCCATTCTGGTGGCTTGGTTGTCCAGTTAACAAAGAAGCACGACTAAAAAATAGTATAATAAAATATTTACGATTTTAATTTTTGTATTTGTAAATATTTTACCTTGGAGAACAACTGCTAGACGATGTATACGCATTATTGAAAATCAAACTTTTTTTAGCCAAAGCATCTAGGTTAGGAGTTTGACAAATCTTTTCTCTATAAGCACCAATTTCAAATCCGCCGTCGTCAGCTAAATTAAAATGAAATGATCAAAATTAATAAGTGTAAATGCATTCTCAGTATAAGTGTTGTCATGTAGTTATATTGATATAAAAATTAGTGATAAAACCTCCAGTTAATCATCGATGTACGACAGTGTTTGACACGTCAAGAGACTCGGCTTGTTCAAAAGGAATTTTAAGGGTATGTTATTGAAAATTCACGAACCTAATAATATAACTGCATTTTTTATTGTATTTCCTGATGTTAGCTGCGTTTTGGCTAATATAAAAAACCATGCGAAAAATATATTCAAACAGGTTAAAGTGTACTGCATGTTGAAGAGTTCTAAATGCTTTTTATGTGCTACTTATATATACAACTACCAGCTCATTATTTTTTTTTTTTTATATATTATCAACTGGTTCTCAATCCACTTAAATTAGACCAGGCGCTGGCGTGGTTCGAAATTAAAATATAATCAGGGGGAAATATTCTTCATGTTGACCTCCCAAAAAATTCCGTCCAATTCTAATGCGGTTTCCAAAATTTGATTAACCCTGATAATTTAAATTGGCCCCTGTTAGGAATTCTATACTCTACACTAGGTCTCCAATTACCAAAATAATAACACCATAAATTTGAAGGGGGCGTCAAGGGGACTTAAATCTTCATCTTCAACTGGGGCACCAATTGCGAAAAAATAACACTATAAATTTGACGGGGGCGTCAAGAGGATTTAAATCTTCATCTTCAACTGGGCACCAATTCTCAACAAATAGCACCATAAATTTGAAGGGGGCGTCAAGGGGACTTAAATCTTCATCTTCAACTAAGGCACTAATTGCGAAAAAAATAACACCATAAATTTGAAGGGAGCGCCAAGGAGTTGGGATTTAAATCTCCATGTTCAATTCAAATTTCATGAACGAATTCTAAACTCTACTCTAGGGCTCCAATTGCCCAAAAATAACACCATAAATTTGAATGGGGCGTCAAGGAAGGGGATTTAAATCTTCATCTTCAATTCAAAAACTTATTCCATTAGATGAAAGATTCTAAACCTCACACAAGGGCTCCAATTGCCAAAAATGACACCATAAATTTTGAGAGGGCGTCAAGGAAGTGGGATAAACTCCAATAAAAAAACTTATTTCAATATTTGAATGAATTCTAAACCCAAGGGCTCCAATTTTGAATGGGAGGTCAAGGGAATGGGGTTTCAATCTTAATCTTTAATCAAAAACTTTTTTCAATATATTGGAAGAGGGCGTCTAGAGGGTGGGATTTAAATTTCCATCTCCAACCCAAAACCTTATTTCTATTAAAAAAACTTCCTAGTAAATTTTTCGTGCAAACTCCATCCAGCGCCTCGTCTATAAAGAGTGGGATATACACTTTCTAAAATAGTGTCTGCAATTATAATCCCTTCCAGGTACCATGGCCTCAAGAGATCAAAAAATAGTTTTATTTGATGTCGACGGAACATTGACCGCTCCGAGATGCGTCATAACTCCCGAAATGGAAAAATTTATTTTGGAAGAAATAAAACCAAAGGCCACAATAGGCCTTGTGGGGGGCTCTGACCTTGAAAAAATGAAGGAACAAATGAATGGAGAAAACGTTTTGAAAAATTTCGATTACGTTTTCCCCGAAAACGGGTTGATTCAGATAAAGAATGGAGTGGAAATTGGACGAGTTTCCATCCAAAAACACGTCGGAGAAGAGAAGTTACAAGAATTTATTAACTACGTTCTTAAATACATGTCGGAGTTGAAATTGCCTTTTAAACGAGGGACTTTTATAGAATTTCGAGCTGGTATGTTCAATATATGTCCAGTGGGTCGGTCTTGTTCTGTGGAAGAAAGGCGGCAATTTGCTGAGTACGATGCTAAACACAGAGTACGAGTGAAATTTATAGAAGCTCTTCACAAGCAATTTCCAGATTTAGGATTTTCCTTTAGTATAGGAGGCCAAATCAGCTTCGACGCTTTTCCCCGAGGTTGGGATAAAACCTATTGCCTCCAATTCTTGACGGAATTTCCGGAAATCCACTTTTTCGGAGATAAAACGGATAGAGGAGGCAACGATCACGAAATTTATTATCATCCTAAGACTATCGGTCATAAGGTCACTTCTCCAGAAGATACAATGAGCCAATTGAGGAACCTGTTTTGTTAATCTCAGCACCTATCTCCAGATCAGAGGTCAGAAGAACATAAACAATGGCCGCTCTAATATATTGATAATACAATTTTAACAAACATAATTTTATGCAAAATATAATATATAAGTTTTAATGCTATTTTATATGGAATCAGGGGTCATAAACGGTGGCCGCTATAATTTATTGATAATCCAATTGTACATAATTTTTATCCAAACAAACACAGTTTTAATGCAAAATATTTTATAAAACAAGTTCTAATGCTATTTTATATGGAAAGATTTTAAATAAAATATTTAACGTTTTTAGTATTTTTTTTTGTTTTTGCATAATTTGTATAATTCCAGGAAAATGTTCTAGATAATTCTTATCTAATGCATTAATGAGGCGACTGCATATGGTTATCACGTAATTTTGCAATGCTAAGAATGTTTTGGTTATTGTTACAAAAATACATTATCGACCTTCATAAACTGAAAAAACAACTGATTCACTACTTGACGATTTTTAACTTCCCGAAAGAGAAGTTTATGTTTTCCTGAACCGATTTTGAAAATTTAAAAGCCGATCGAATGATTCCAGATCGTACTGTTTAGTTTTTGGTAAAGATCGGTCAAGCGGTTTCTTTGTGAGTAATCTTATCGAACATCCTAAAATATTAAAAAAACAATTAAAAAAAGTGGTTTAATTATAAAAATACCTAAAAGTATGGAATAATAGACCGTGTCAAAATTTCAAAACTGTATCGTAAATATTTGAAAAATTCTAATAAATTCTATTTTCATTGATTAAGTCGATTGTTTACACTCATAGGAAAGTATTTGCAAGATTCCTTAAGACAAAATACCACTCACACCTAATTACAAACTAATAATAAATTATTATAAAACCCATACATAGATAAACAAGTACAAAATACAGGATTTTGTAAAGTTTATTACTTTTTAAAACAAATGAAACGCCAAGTTCCAAAAAACGAAAGATGTCAAATATCTTAAATTATAATTTCAATTAATTTAGTGAATAGTTAGAAATTTTTAGAAAAAATGTTTAGGAGTGAATCTATGGTTCTTTGCCAATTGTTTATTGCAAAAGAAGCAACTTATCAATCTTTAGCTGAGCTCGGTGAAAAGGGTCTAATTCAATTTAAAGACGTTAGTTCCAGATGAAATAACTTAAATTATATGAATCCTTTAAAAAAAATCGGTTATATACTAGTTGAATGCTGGAGTAAATTCATTTAGAAGAAAATTTGTCCATCAAGTTCGCCGATGCGAAGAATTTGAAAGAAAAATACGTTACATGCGGGATGCTATATTAAATGAAAAAATTCCGATTCCGGAATGCACTCCGGAACCAGAAACCCCAGAATTAAAAGTTGCCCCTGTTTACGAGGTGTAAAAAAAATATATTTAAAATTTCCAATATATATATAACACATTTTGTTGTATAAATCGTGTTACTATAATTCAAATATAATATTTTCAAGGCTGCAATTAATAAGGCTGAAGCCGCCCTAGTTGAATCTACCAACAGCCTTATTGGAATCAAACAAAATTTAATTGAATTACGAGAAATGCAAGCAGTGTTTGATTATGCAAAAGTACGTACAAATGGCATTAAAAATCCATATGATCTCTTACTTGAGTTTTATCCTTTAGGATCTTTTTCAAGAACCAATAATAGTTAGAAGATTCACTAATAATTCAAAACGAAACAAATCCAATAGCCGAGATGTAGAAAGTCGCAAAACCACTAAGGAGCAAGTGGGTCATCTTGGATTTATGACTGGTGTCATAAATAAAGATAAAGTATTATCTTTTGAGAAAATCCTTTGGAGGATCTCACGAGGCAATGCTTATATAAAACAAGCTGATGAATCTAGTATTCTGGAAGACCCTATAACTGTAAGTTAAATATAATGGATTCTGTAAGTATATTAAGTTACGAGGATTAATTTTAACTAAAAGTTAAAATAACAGTCTGTGCAGGATTTTCACATAACACACTACAAAAAGTATTGAACCATTTAAAAATCAATACTGGTTTCAAATCAATACAGATTTTTTTTTGTTAAGTTATTGCACATGAGTTAAATGCCTGTTAGGTTGGTGTCGTACGTATCTGTCAGAACTTAAAATTTGTTTCGGCGTTTCTCATCAATTTGAGGTTAAAAATGCATTTTGTCAAATGAAAGATTGTAAAAAATGAAATTTCAATAAACTACTTAAGAAATGCATTTTTAAGTATCGTATTTTAAGTAACAGTGAATTATATTGTACATTTTAATGTGTTACGTTACTCAGTAAAGACTAAAACATGTTTTCCATATGTAAACAAACTCACCCTTCCACAGCAATAGAATTTTGTATAACTTGCCACTTCTATAACAAAAGAGAAAAATGTCTAGTAACAGCAGGGGCAAATGTTCTGAAAGTATTTCGTATTATACCGGACGTGGAACCAGGCTCCAAAGAGAAATACTCATATGCACGTCCTCCAAAAATGAGGCTAGAATGCCTGGCATCTTTTCAATTGTTTGGCAATATCATGTCTTTGCAAGCTGTACGCTTATCAGGAAGCCAGACTGATGCACTTCTATTAAGCTTTAGAGAAGCTAAATTGGCTGTTGTGCAAATGGATATGATAACATATTCTTTGAGAACTCTTTCTCTTCATTACTTTGAAGATAGTGATATTAAAAATGGCTGGACAAGTTGTCAACATATTCCAACTGTGAGAGTTGATCCTGATAATCGGTGTGCAGTCATGCTTATCTATGGAAATAAACTGGTTGTATTGCCTTTCCATCGAGACAGTCTCTTGGATGAAATGGATACCATGGAAGCAAAACCAGTGCAAAATCCTGTGACTGGTGGTACAAGTAAATGCTCTATTTTAGCCTCATATATGATAGAACTTAAAGAATTAGATGAAAAAATTGATAATGTTATTGATATTCAATTTTTACATGGTTACTATGAACCTACTTTAAATATACTTTATGAACCAGTAAAAACATTTCCTGGCCGGATAGCTGTTCGTACAGACACTTGTTGCATGGCAGCAATAAGTATAAATGTGCAGCAGAGAGTACATCCTATAATTTGGTCTTTGGGAGGTTTACCATATGATTGTTGCCAGATTGTAGCTGTTCCAAAACCCATTGG